TCATACCACAGTGATATATGTGCACCCATGTTCATAGCGGCACAGTTTGCAATAGCTAAAGCTTGGAAGGAGCCCAAGTGCCCATCAACTGGAAACTGGATAAAGAAAATGTGGTTTTTTTACCACAATGAAAATTTAAAATGTAGCTTCCACACTTGTGCATAATTCCAAAGTATTTTATTTTTATCAGTGTTAAATAGCTTTCTGTACAGGCTTCAACCCATTTTTCTGAAATGTGCTGTTTTTTAATGAAAGTAACTATAATCTTTTCACATCCCAAGGAACTGCTGTTTACACACTGCAACTTTTTAAACTTAACCATATTTTTCCAAATTAACTTTTTTGGAGGGAGGAAATTCCCCACTTGCTAAATGATACTAAACTGTTGTTTGGGCTCTTATAATTAGGACCTCAGATTTTATAAAAGGATAGTCTGTAGCTTTCTAGGTTCTTCACTAACTAAAGTTGGTTGTACATAAATAATATAGTGACACCCAAAATCTTTTAAATATCTAGGTTTTCCACTAGTGACATAGTGTGGAGAGTATTTTGTTCATGCATACTTTAGCCATTAAATTGGACACATCTTGAGCTTCTCTTAGTTAATGCAAACCGTTTGTTTTTTTTATTGTACTTGAGACAGGATATTTTAATATAATTTTTGCCTAAATCAAACAACCCACTCTAAGTGTTAATTTTTAAATGTCAGACTTTGGTGAGCCATCTATTTGGGAAGTAAGATTACAGTATGCTTAATTTTTAGTGGTGGCTAAAACCATAATTCTGGGATTTGTTACTATTAAAGCTTCATAAAGAGAAATTGATAGAGACTTTCTATTTTTTGATCAACTGAATGGATACCAATGTCAATGTATGGGAAACTTTTCTTAAAACTTGTTCATGTATCATTTTGATCCATTTTCTGTGGCATTTGCTGCAAAAAAAACTTTGGAATTTATCTTGAAAAAAAAAGAAAATGTGTTTTTTTAATAAAATGGAGTACTACTCAGACATAAAGAACGAAAAACTAGAGTCATTTATAGTTAAATGGATGCATACCGAGGCCATACTCTTAAGTGAAATAAATAGGACACACATGTGTAAATACAGAATAGTTTCTCTAGTGTGAGAAACTGATAGTGTAAACAAGGCTTAAAATGATTAAAATGAATAATTGATAATTTGAAATAGGAAAAAGGTCCAAAGCCGAAGGAGTGAAGGGAGGGGAAGGGGAAAGGAAAAGAGAGAAAGGAAAAACTATGAGAAAAGAAAAAAAAAATGGAAATGAAATCTATGTAAATAGGGAAGGGTGGAGGGGGTGAAGGGCATACAGGTAATGGAGAAAAAAATAAGAACCAAGATATATCACGTACAGGTACAAACACCCAATGAAAAATGTACACGAACTGTATACCTAAAATGTACCAATAAAAGAACTAAAAAAAAAAAAGAAAAAAAGTAAAATGAAATACAAACTTTAAAAACAAAAAGTCAATGTCATAAAAACAAGCAAACAAAAACCATAAGAGGATTGATCAAAATTAAAAGTGACTAGAGAAATGTAACAACCAAGTAAAATGTGTGAACCTGGACTTAAGAGCTGATGGGAGGGCCAGGGATTTAGCTCAGTGGTTCTGCCACCAGTTTTGCAAGTACAAGGTCCCGAGTAGATCCCAAGTACCAAAAAAAGAGTTGATGGGAGGGGGATAAGTGAGGAAATTGAAATATGAACTACCTATCAGATACTGAGTTTATTTTCTAGGTGTGATTATGGCATTAGGATTATGTAAAAAGAATATTCTTATTCAATGGAGAAGGGCACTAAAGTATTTAGGGAAAAATGTTATGATGAATTCATAACTTTGAAATAGTTCAGCAAAAGTGTGTTTATACAGACCGACACTTAAAATCTACTTGATTTAAAATGTGTAAAAGAGCCCAATCTTGTAAGAAAATTTTAGAATACATATAAAAAAATCTGAAAGTTATATCCCAAACAGTAGTAACAATTTTGAGGGCTCATTTATGATTTTATATTAAAAATAAAAAACTACAGAAATGTCTAACAGTAAGCATGTTTGTACAACTGGAAAATATTTTTAAAAACTTGTTTACTTAAAAAGAAAATATCTATTTATTGGATGACTTTTTTTTTGGCAGTACAGGGGACTGAACCTGTGTAATGGGCTACATCCCCAGCCCTTTTTATTTTTTATTTTGAGATAAGAGTCTTGCTAAATTGTGCAGACTTGACTCAAACTTGGAATCCTCCTGCATTAGCCTCCCACAGTGCCAGGATTACAGGAGTGTGTCGAGAGGAATTCCACATGATTTTGGGGAAAATTCATTTCACAATTAAATCATGATTAGGGCCTAGTTTTCCTGCTGCAGGCCAGCTATGGCACATGGAAACATAACTCCATCATTGCCTCTGGTCACAGCTAAAAAACCTCAATGATCCAGCGATGCTGTGATGCTCCAGGGCAAGATTAAACTAGCTGAAGACGTCCTGGGGAGGTGCCCTCTGAGCCTGTTACATAGTGTTATGCTCGATGTACCAAACCCTGCCCTTTGAGTCATCTGCTGAACCAAATAAAGATGTGACAAGTTCCGGCGGGGGGGGGGGGGGGGGGGGGGTGTCTTTCATCTTTGCTGCCGAGCAGCATTGATCAGGCCCAAAGCTCAGCTTCTTCTCCAAGTCTCATTTTTCTATATTTTCTGTCTAATAAATTTGCCTTGTGCTGTGGCTCACAGGAGACTAGGACTTGCTGCAGAGGTTCTAATAACCTTCCCTTTCCCAGTTCCCTATAGGAATGTGCCATGTCCTGCTATGTAAATGAGTATCACTGTACAAGGTTTTCAGCAGCCAATTCCTTTTCATTGGAGTCCACGCCAAGAGACTGAAGATAGACAATCTACAAAAGAACCACAGTAGTACTCCAGAGAGGAAGCAGTAAAGTCCCTCCTTTTTGAGATCGCTCATCAGCGTCTCCAGGTTTAACTGATAACCCCTCAATGAGAACTAAGGTTGACTATCCTACCTTACTAATAAGGTAACAGAAATGAATTTAAAGATATGGGCTTGTTAAACCAGGGGAGAAAAAACAGGTTTTTGTTGTTTTTGCAGTACTGGGTACTGAACCCTGGGGCCTCGTGAACACTAGAAAAGCACTCTCTACCTCTGAGCTACATTCCCAGCCCTTTTAAAATTTGAGACAGGATTTTGAGAAGCTGCCCATGTTGGCCTTGAATTTGTGATCCTCCTGCCTCAGTCTTCTGAGTAGCTGGGCTTACAGGCCTGCACCCAGATTGTTTTACTATTACTACAATATTACTATACTTCAATACAGTTATCTGTGCTGACAGTACTCAGGAAATTTGCAATTTTGCCATAAAAGAAAAACTTCAATACAAGTTTGAATATAGAATGTCTCCCCAGAGGTCCATGGTGCTACTGACAGGCGGAGGAAACTTCGGGGG